GCCTAACCGACCTGTTTCTTGAGTTCTGCTTTTCTTTTTATACCTTAAATATCCTGACATAAATATCTAGTTATGTTCCTTTTGTGCCTGCAGAATAAATTGTTTCTTCTTTCTCACTTCACGTAACCGGTCCAACAGAGACTGCTAGTGCAGGATACGTGGGCAGTAAGTGGCTGATCAGGGTGTGAAGCGGTCTCTATTTTAGGTACATCTACATTTTAAGGACCTTTGTCAACTACTGGTTCAACGATCCGCAGAAGGATCGGGATACTCCTATTATTCCAGTCCCACTTGAACATGAAATCGCTTCCCTACCTGTAGGACTCTCGAGAGTTTGTGACCGGTTTATTGCAATATCAAACGTTGGAATCAACATACAGCTGGTCGTGGTGTGACCTCCATGGTGAATAACTCGTTTCCAAGATGAATGCATAAATTTCCAGTAAAAATGAAGCATATGCACATTTCTGTGTTGCGAAGAAAGTGGGTGCGTTAGTTGCGTTTACGTGCTACAACCAAGGCAGCAGATGGGGCTAGGATGATAGGAAATATTACACTAACCCCACCTGGAGAGAAATAGAGGGTAAGTTGGAAAGACTTACCCACAGTCCTTTGGCAGTCTGAAACACTCAATCGGAATTTATGTAACTCTAAGTGGACTGTCGAGAACTATCATGCGGATCGTAGACAGTATGCTTTTCTGTCCAGTAGCGAAAGTTTACCGTTGTAATGACTTGTATGCGCAAGACTGAGCGTTACACGCCAGTAAATAGCAGTCCTGTTTCTCTGGAAAGTTTGTGGTCTCTGATTGCCTCGCTAGACGGGAAAGTTGAATGGATTACGAAGGGTCTAGAACGCTCAGGTTTTTCCTGTTGGGAGACAGTAGAAGACACTAGCAAGTTGTTAGATCATGCATCTGTTTGTTCACTGTCGAATGTCAGTTGACCTGTTACCAACGACCCTGTTAGTAACGAACCCTCAGATAGCATGTTTGATTCAGCTGTTAGCGAAGGAGAGCAGCAAGCTTCTGCCCTTGTCAAAAGAAAGCGAAAAAGGGTTAAAAAATTGGCAAAACTCAAGGCAGACATGAGAGGTTCGTCAGGTGGCCTATCCCCCTTCAAATTCTACTACTACAGAATCGTTACAGCTGGAAACATAAAAACGGAAGCTAAACTGAAACCACCGACGTCCATGGAGCGTTCGGTAAATATTGTGCGTCGCGGAGCCTCGTATACCGACTGCAGTGTTATGTTCAGAAACGTCACTGAGTCATCTGCTGTTCTCCCAAAAGACCGTATGCTAGATTAGCTTCAGGGGTTTACAATATGAGTTACCAAACTCCTGCCTCCCGGCTTCCCCGGCGTGACTGTGCGTAAACTAACCAGACTCGGTAACTTGCCAGCTGGCAAATCTTACCCTCGCTTGATGTGTTGTTCTGTTCACTCCGGAGGACCGCCAAGCACTTCTGCGTTTCGCCTTTAAGCTCAAGAGCACTGGTGTCATTGTGCACCCAGACCTCCCTTTGGCGGATAGGCTGAAATTGCGGGAAGCTGTGAGAGATATTAAAGCCCGCCGTGAAGCAGGAGAAAAGGGTCTCCACTTGGTGGGTTTTCGGGTGGTGAGCCGGCGGTCCACTTCCGCCTTACCAGAGCCGGTTCTGGTGGCGCACGATCCCGGACTCACAATGCTGAATCCCTTCAGGTGATCTTAAGCAATGTGCGTAGCCTGCGAAACAAGCTATGCGAAGTCGGCGCCCTTGTCGACGACTGCCGTCCAGATATTTTTGCATTCACTGAAACGTGTTTGTCCACTGACGTCACGGACAGTGAAGTGTGCTTGCAAGGCTCCGCACTGATGAGATGTGACTGCACCTCTGTACAGTGCGGAGGTGGCATTGCTTTGTACGTTAACTCCGCACTTACTGTCTTTAAGACGTATAGTTTCCGATCACCAGACGGTGATGTTGAGGCACTCGCAGTTAACCTGTGTATTGCCTCCGCGCAACTTAAAGTTGTGCTTGTCTATAGAAGCCCCGACAGCGTTGCTAAGGGGCTTGTTGATTTCATCCGCGAACATTCGTCAAATAGGTGTTTAGTGATGGGGGACTTTAATCTTCCCGACGTTGACTGGCAGAATTTTTTCTGCTTCTCGAGCTGGCCTTGCGTGCTTCCCTCCACCAATTTGTCGATCGGCCACACTAGGTTCATGATGGGTCAAAACTCGTCCCTCTTGGACTTGATCTTCGCTAAATCCATCGATTTAGTCACGGATATTGTATACAACTCACCTCTCGGTGCTAGCGACCACGTGTTTCTCATTTAAGTGCGCCGTTAGTCGTCAGAATAATGATCATCCCGACCGAGTTCCAAACATATGGCGCGCGGACTTTCAGACAATGAAAGCCAAGGCCGCAAAGTCGCCTTGTGTCATTTTGGAAAGTGACGACATTCAAACGACCTGGGACAGATTTAAGTCATATCTGAGTGAGCTCTCTCTGCCCCATATACCACTATTTGGCAGGAATAAAACTAGGGCAAAGCCACCCTGGTTTGATTCTGCTGTACACAAACAACTTAACAGACGTGTCAGATGTTGGCGTACTTAGTTATCTGCTCCTTCATCATGCACCTTCAAGCGATACCGTGAGGCTCGAAATGCCTGCAGGCAGCATCTACGATGTGCTCGTCTACAGCATGAAGTAGAGCTTGCTCGTATTGCCTCACCAAACCCGAAACGCTTCTTGGCGTATGTCAAAAGGCGAAGGAACATGAACTCGTGCATCCCAGTGTTGTTTGGCCCTGACGGCACTGCTGCTGTCACGGATCACGGAAAAGCTTGTTTGCTCGGAGGACAGTATGCTGGGGTCTATGTTCGAGAGCCGCAGCCGCCGCATATCAGCCTCCAGGCAAAAGTTCCTAAGGGCTCCCACTTGGTGGACGTTTCTACAACGGAGACTCAAGTGCTCCGGCTTCTGAGGCAATTAAATTCCAATAAAGCTGCCGGGGGGTGCTATTCATCGCAAACTGTTGTATGAGTTGGCTGATGAACTTCGTCGTCCGATTACACAACTTTTTGTGAAGTCCCTACGAGGCTGCTCTCTACCCAAGGACTGGAAGGAGGCTATTGTTTGTTTCATTTTTAAGAAAGGTGATAATGACCTACCTGATAACTATAGACCGGTCAGTTTGACGAGCGTGCTGGTCAAGTTGTTGGAAAAGCTCGTGAAGGACGCTCTCGAAGGACACTTGAAAGCGTTTGTTGCTTAATCCTGTTCAGCACGGCTTTCCTTAGGGCCATTCTTGACTTACTAACTTGTTAACGGCTAGTGAACACTGGGCTGAAGCCCTTGATTGCGGGAAGGCAGTGGACGTGCTGTTCATTGACTTTTCCAAAGCTTTTGACATGGTTCCACATTCGCGCTTTTTGTACAAACTGAAGTCCTACGGTATTTCTGGACCAGTCTTATGATGGCTTTCAGCTTTCCTAATCGGAAGAGAAATGTGTGTGTGGGTGGGTTCAAGACTGTCCTTCCGCCAATGTGTGCAAGGTGGAGTTCCGCAAGGTTCAGTTCTTGGCCCCCTTTTCTTCACTTTATACCTTAATGACCTGCCTGATGAATTGGGTGTGCCATCCCTAATGTTTGCGGATGACTTGAAACTCTGGTTCACGATAGACGATCCGATTGGTCCACTGACCCTACAGAGGGCTTTAGATAGACTTTGGGACTGGTCAATTTTGTGGCAGTTGCTCGTTAATTTAGCGAAATGTTCAGTATTACGCGTTGGTCCGAATGACCTGCCAACGCGTTATTTGCTTGGCAGCACGAGGTACCACGAGTTCAACCCCAATCTGACCTCGGCATTTTGCTGTCATCAGACTTTAAGTCCAGTGAACACTGGATGACAGCTAGTCGCAAAGGTTCCAACATGTTGTGGATGATCCGCAGGTCATTCGGAATCATGACCACCGAAATGTTCGTTAGAGTATTTTCGGCTTTTGTAAGGCCGCACTTAGAATACTGCGTTCAGACTTGTCCTCCATGTCTAGTTTGTGATAAGCTGGCAGTTGAACGAGTCATGTGGTCCGGGACGAAAATGGTGCACTGATTAAAGAAGCTGACGTTCTCGGAGAGGCTACGTAAGTTGGATATGTTGTCCATGTAACACAGGTGGCTTCGGGGCGACTTGGTCCTCACATATCGTATACTGATGGGTCGGATTGACTGTTTCGCCCAACTCGAGCGCCAACCTTTCGTGGCCACCCATTAAAGTTGTAAAAACCCCGATTTCACGGGGTTTGGGCAACTTTTCGGTTATTGCGTAAGGTCATAGCTTATTGGAACGCACTGCCTACAGAGGTCGTGATGGCGCCGACGGCGAAAGAGTTCGAGCATCGACTTGAGGCTCTCGGTCTGCAATTTAAGGTCTTCCCCTTCATGTCTTAAACTTGACTCGTCTACTGCGGCCTACGCTTCTCTAACTCACTTTAACTTACATCTTAAACTGCCTATAAAATTCGATAAGGTTGTCTTCTCCTGTTTCTTTTCTTTTACTAACACTACTGTTTTCTTTTATTCTTCACGTGGCCGGCACAGCGGGAACTGTTAATGCAGGGCACCTGGGCATTATTTGATTGACCATGTGAATCGTGTGCTGATTTGGCTCTCCTCTGGCATATCAAGGCAGCGGTTTCCCTGTTGGATCAACAATGTTTGCGAAGGTGGAACATTCGCGGGATTTTCCTACTGTTCCGGTCCCACTTGAACTTGACTCTCGGCAGACTGTCGGAGGAATATCGCACCGCCAGGGAAACGCACAGATGGGGCAGGTGGTCGTCCACTAATGCCGACAGAGCCTTTAGCGTCATACGAACTTAATGAGAAAGGACCAGTACACGGATCAATATATGTGCAAGCGGTGACAACTAAGTGACAGGCGTACGTCTCGAACGTTCAGTGGGTTAAAATGAATCGAAAAAACGAATCAGTGCAAATGACTTACCTTCAAAGTATAACGCTTTTTTTGGTTCTATGTCGATCAGTTGATTCGTGGAAGTCTCCATAGTAGAGTTGTAACGCCCAAGTACCAGAAACACCAGCACAGACCAGAATTTGCGCTGACGAGGCGAATTAGTGAGTCCCTAATCGCAGATAATGACTAGCTCATACCCTGTACGAATCAGTTCAAGTTCCAACGGATCATTCTTTAGGAATGGGTGGCTGATCAAGTGTATTATTCGTTCGTGATAATTGCAACGTAGAAGAACCATATTGGCACATTCGAATCAAACCTGAGGTACCCGAGTAATGCCCACACCTGCAGGGGCAGCCTCGGTACCAGTCACGTGAAATTACAAATATGAGTAAGAATGCAATAGAAGTATTTAGATCCATTGGCGGAAGGACTTTAATAATAAAAGTACAGGTAATAAAAAATGAAATGGGAAATTTGGAACTAATATCCCAGAGCTTTGTATTGACTTCATAGAGGGCAGGTCAGGTTCCAAGGACAGTACAGTCTTCCGCCTAAGCAGCGGCCAATTTCGTGCTCTGCTAAGAGAACAAGTGCCTCCCGCGCCTCAACCACAGATTTACCTCCGCGGCTTCTGCAAGCGATTTGGGCAAACACAAAGCCCTATCTCTACTGTCAAGCACTACAATGCGACTGCGACATGATTCAATAAAACTACAATAATCGTAGGTAATGTCCAAACCAACACCTAGCTAGGCTGCTTTTATGGGCCTGTACGGCGCTTTATTCTATTAATGCGTTAGGTAGCTTATTCCAGCTATTTTCTCCACGATTCGCAAAGAAGTTCGCCCTGATGCCCAGTCTAGTCCTCTGATGTGTGGGTTTCAATTGATGTCCTCGAAGGTAAGCTGACCGAGTTAGCCCAAACAGTTTAGTATACTGGAAACCACCAAAATCCTTCATGATTTTAAACGGCTCTATTAGATCCTTTCTTATCCTTCACCGTTCCATTGAACATAGACCTTAGCTCCTTAGGCGTTTAGCGTATGGCTTATCACCTAGAAACTCAAGCAACTTAGTAGCCAGGTTTCGTGCTTTTCCGTGCAGGCCACGTATTTCCGGCGGTACATTACCCAAGCCTTATACGGTATTCTAGATGAGGTCTTACCACCGCTTTATATAAGAAAAGTACAGCCTCAACTCTAGTTCGCATAAACCGCTTTCGATGCGGAAAAATTATTTCCGCGCTTTGTTGGCTGCATGCCAGCATTGCTTTGTAGGTTCGAAGTCTTTTGCAACAATGATGCGCAAACCTAGTGCTTCATCTGCACTTCGCAGGTCTAGAGGCCCGACAGATGTTAGCACCGTAATCCCTACGTTTCGAGTAGCTAGTAACTGACATTTGGTGGCGTTTTAAGGTAAATCCAATTTAACCGACCAATCCACTACAGTGCGAAGTTCCTTGGACAACTGGTCTCGATTATCTTGATTGACGACGTTCAGGCCATCATCAGAAATATATCAGGGATAATGGAGAAGTGGGCCCAAGTCGTGTAGAATTATAAGGAACAGCAATGATCCTAAAACGGAACCTAAGGGAACACCGCTCTGAGCGGTGCTGATGCTTGATCAACCTTCGTCGACCCTGACGCGAAAGGTTCTACTGCAAAGAAAATCTGCAACCTAACGCAACATTTGATAATGCTAGTCAAATCGTTCCAAGTTATCAAGTACGAATCGTTGGTTAACCAAGTTGAAGGCTTTGCTAAAGTCGTAGTAGTATACTTCACTTAAGATTCCATCATCAAGACAGCTAGCCCCATGTTCGCCTAGTCGCCCCTAACCTAGTCGTTGTTCAAACATACCGCTGGCGACGACCATGCGTCCTCGGGCAGTGCATTTTAGAAATTACTAACCTGTATGATAAAGGAAGTCCGTCCGTACTCCATTAGCTTGGGCCTTGTGTAACTTCGTCGAGTGGTTCCACGGAGGTAGCAGTCGAGCTGGTTGGGTAAGTTAATAATAATTAAGCCCAAGTATCCGGACAAGTATGCAATAGGTCAATATCAAGTAGTCCCGAGGAATACGATAAGGCATGGAAAACCATAATAGCTTACAAAATCTTTTCGGGTACCAAAATTTCCGTAGCCCATGAAACATCTTGTTTCTAACCCTCACTCCACTGGCATCCTACTACTGACTAAACAAGATGGACAAGCCGGAATGAAGTACACCAAATTTGGCTTAACAAATAGCTGAATACACTGCAGACCATCCTCAGCATTCTGAAACTTTTGTATGTAGCGTAATTCTTTTTCACGCTAAACTTTACTTACGACGAAAGCGTGGCCACTAGATCTACTAATAGCGGCACATGCTGTGGCTCTTTCCCAGACGTGTTTAGTGGCCATTTGGTCCTAAGCGTAAAACAGGACACTAAGATACTTAATGGACATTTGCACCAATGAGCAGTTACAGATGTTATCAATAGCCCATTGCAAAGCCTCTAGTTCATCGGAGTGCGAAGTAGTGCACCGAAGCTTCAGGTCATCTGTAAACAAGTTAGGCGGTGTTCCTATGTGTTCTGGCAATTTATCAACGTACAGCTAAGACAACAACGGACCACGCAGCGACCCATACGGAACCCGACAAAGGCTAACTAACAGAAAACTAAGTGTAACTCAGTGGATTGCACAACGCTCTCCAGTACAGAAGTGTGAAGATCTAAGTAGTGTCCTGATATACCATAGGACCGAAACTTCAATGTGTGGCTAGTATAGAGTCCGTTGTCAAACTCTTTGAAGAAGTCAGTAAAACGTATCGCGTGACCTCGGTTCACAGCATCTACGCAACATGCGCGTGCAGTAGCTGGCTGGTTAGCGGAACAACCTCCTTGTGGTGCCAGCTGGGTGGTTCGGGTTTAACCCGTTACAGCTAATAGTTAGGCGGCAGTGTTCCAGGACGTGGCGGGTTTTCGCCTAGCAAGCATTCTCTCTATAAAAAGCCACAAATATCTGCTTAACAACATTGTGACGTGGCGGTCATGGCTCGCCACAAAATAACCCTTTCCAACTAATAGTTTGGCGGCAGTGTTCCAGGACATGGTGGGTTTTGGCCTGACAAGCTTTCTCCCTATAAAAAGCCACAAGTGTCTGCTTAACAACACTGTGACCTGGCGGTCGCGGCTCGCCATAAAATAAAGGCACTGCCCCGCGGATATCTGGATAATCCTTTCCAACCCACGGACACCAATCTTCTACTCGCACATTGCTGACGATAGCAAACATTCAAGAATGGAGCAGCACAGTTACAAGCGCAAATTACACAGCTACATAAACGCACACACAATTACATACTTACATTCCCCCTGCACAAACAAGCACTGTTATGGCAAACATATCGGAATTTGCAAATGCTTGATCACGCATTGTTTTGTCAAAATGATCATGCATGTAAAGTTGTGCCTCGCCTTGTCGAGAATAAAAGTTTTATTTATTTATTTAATTGATAATGCATTTATGATCTTTGCAATAACCAGGTTGAAGCGGACTGAGCAGGCTAAAAGTACACAGGTATTCTTCATGCCTATACATGACAAATTTCTCTAATAACTTTACTAGTACCTTCTGCATATAAACCAGTCTGTAACCTGAGAACACTCATCGCGGCTGGACTCAACCAGACAGCCACTGCGAATCCAGGGAAGCACTAGCACAACGTTTCGTTCGAGTAGGACTAGTCAATAGAGCGCAATATCCGGAACCCTTTCAGATTCGAACCTGTACACGTATGATCCAGCGACTTATACCGCTGTGCCTTATATAACAGCGGCAGAACGCCACTCATCCTGCTTTTTGTCGCAGATAGTGACCACAAATTATTACAACTAACTTCCAATATCAGATCACAACCCACTGTGAACTCACTCACACAATATTCTAACAATATTCTAACATAAGAAAGTAACTGGAGTGTGTCCGTCAGTTGGCCCGTTATTCCGACGGGGATACATTTTTCCTATGCATCAAGGCCTGCCTAAGAGTAGCACCGTTCCATACTACATTATCGCCCTTATTTCAGTTATAAATAAATAATTTATTTTAGAATACTTCGAGGCACACCAAATCAGGCAGGATCAAGACTTTATAAAGATTGTTTCACTACTGGCACTTTGCTTTTTATGAAATGCGCCCTTCGCAGAAGGTACCGAAATGACGAGTGCACTGGTCAGGACCGGATTCTTTAATGATGTGGTAAAAGTTTGGGTTCAAGAAGGTGTAAAAGCCTAACGTTGTGTGGTGACGGAAGAAACAGGGAAGTGCCTTTTACGTGTACATATCCAAAAATATTTAAATGTTGCGAGAGGTTGCTCTAGTTAACTTGCCAGTGAGAGTTTGTGGGCGGTGACATTATTCATTGGTGGGTCAACCACAAACCACGCCGTGTACATAACCTTTATTGGATCAGCCTGTGCACGTTCACCTGACCGGTGCATCGGTTACTTTTGCCTAGTTATTATAACGCATGCCTGCGCAGGCAGCCTCCTACATATGTTCCGTTGCTATTCCGGTCGCTTACCTTTTCGTGACACAACAAGTTGTCGTCGCGTGCTACCGATTTTATTGCACGCTACTGCTCCTGCACCATGTTGGAGTGATCCTACGGTTACCAAAACCGAAGGATGCCGAAAGACTGGAAGATCAGCTTTTCTGATTTTCTGATTTTATTAGTGCGCTGGTAGCTCTAGGCTGCCTAGCCGAACAACCTCATTGCGGTGCCAACCAATTGAATCGGACTTAACCCGTTCCAGCGGATAGTTCGATGGCAGTGTTCCAGCTCTTAGGGGTTTCGGCTGGCAAGCGTTCTCCATATAAAAACCCACAAATGTCAGTTTAATAACACTTTGACATGTCCGTTTTGACTGGCCACAAAATAACGCAACGGCGCTGTGGATATACGGGTAATCCTTATCAACACACGGACAATAATTTTCTACTCGCATGGTGCCGATGACATCAAACCTTCAAGATTGAAGCAGCACAATCATCAGTACAAACTGCGCAGCTACGTGATGATATGGCAGCGTCCGTC